TTCTTTTTACAGCTAGTAAAAAATAGCACAAAGCTCCAAATGTACTGGAAATTTCTTTAAATTAGTGGCGAAAGAACTTATTAAATTCCGCATTGAAACAGTTGTACCTTTATCAACGGCTTACTGCTGCTTACATCTGCAAAGTCAGCAGTGACGAATAATTTGGATAGTAGGGTGAGATCAGTGCTGGTAATTACGTGAACCTCCGGTCGTAACCTCATCCTGCATGTATCAGTGTAATAATTACAGTGGACATCGCAAGGACGTCATCTGTTGCTTCAGTCATGAAATGATTCAGTCGTGGAATGACCGGTGATTAATCTTCAACCATGGGACGCAATCATCACGTAGAACACCGATGTCTGAAATGGCTGAGTATAGAGATTGGTCAGTAAAGCAGCGATCAATTAAACTACAAGCACATACTTCTAAATTGGACTGACTGCATGATTTTGTCAACTTAACGGAGATCTTGGTGAAAAGCGCACCCGCGTAGACTAAGAAAAACCTGCTATGTGCACCGTCATCTCTCCATAATCTGAACTTGTAAGGGTTCGCAGATCCTCAACCCCCGCGCGCATCCATCTCACCGCCTGTAACACTCTCACGGGGGTCTCTGCAGTCTGCATCCTAACAATCAGACCTCCTCCACAGGCCATTTCGAATACAAAAGTCCTGCGCCTCGTTGATACCCCCTAGAACCTTTGAAATACGACAATGTACAGTATGATCCGCGCAAGTGTGTAACAATGTAGTCAAAAGATGTTGACTTATTTTTGTGGCGGTGTAACCTAAAGGCGTATTCAATAGAAGGGTCGTGTAGGGCTTTATGCTATGCCGGGTTCTATTCTGGCATCACATACCAGAACACAGCGAGCTGAGAGTCGGTACTGGAGACAGGGAACGTTCTGCCAACCATCGTCCAGATTTATTTAAGACAGCAACTTCCGATTTTAAGTTAACCGAAGTTCAACTGTATCCCGACAGAAAACCACTGTCTGCTGTGGCCGGAGTTGTACTTGGAATCACAAACAACAATAGGCGCGACCGTCAGTGCCTACTCGTTTGATGTGACATCACTCTCAAACGGTCATTAACCTCGCAACCTGAAGGTAAACAACAATCGGGGAAAGTATCTCTCTACGGAGAAGTTGGAAACTACACCAGGGCTCGTTAAGAGCTGTCAAAAGGTAGGAATATCTGACCAAATTAGTTTCGGGTCGTGTTAGTGTAGGTGAGGAACAAAGTTTCAAATAGGATGGCTCATTTCACTCATCACTGCGCAGTACCCATTTGGATGAAGGCAGTAGTGTTTCGAGAAAACCACGTCGAGTGTCAGACGTAAGTTAATATGTTTAAGATACAGTTTGACCCTTGCTTTTAACTAACGGTGGAATCCCTTTATTCCCGCAGCAGAGACCTGAGATTACACTTTTAAATCATATAAATTGTACGTTATTCTGGTGTAACCTTGAGTTATATGACTGCATGCAGGGGGGGTCATTGTTCACTGTTTAACGTCCATAATTATATTGTTCAAGAGTATTTCGTATTATACTAAAATTCTGCATTCATTTTTGGCAGCAAAAATTTGCGTTGAGCTTGAATTCCCGTTCGGCCCGCATAGTTATTAATTGACAATACTTTCTCAGTGTTAAAAGAACGGCCTATCGTCGCTCTTCGTGGATAAGTAAACCTATGACATTTAAGCACACAATCACTTATACCCTATCCCGTCTTTATTTTGTTCACATCATAGTTTAGGCAGCCTAGCAAAGCTACTTGTAAGGATCGAGGGAATATATACACGCATGCTTAGGAGCAGCATCCTTAGAATGTAGTCACTACAAAAGAAAGTTCCGGTTTTACCTCGCGAACAGCAGCTTCCACAGAAATAAAAATCAATTTCTTTCAGAACTGTTTCATTGGGGTGGAAAAACAAGATCGCAAGATAAAGACACTCTCGTGTCACAATAGAGAGATAATCGGCTTAAGGATTGTCAGTCAAATAATGTGGATAATCCTACGCATTGATACTTCTTACTCCTTTAATAGCATGGACAATTGGGATTATCTGTTCCTAATCCAAGAAGTTCCTAGGCCCGTGGTACAATCCTTTATGACTGTGCTTCAGTACTGAACAAACTGTCAAGCACCCGTCAACCAACCAGCTTGTCCAAAGTGCTAACTCAATCGCCCACCGCATGCTCTAATCAAGCGGGACATAATGTCTTCTCACAATTCAGTCATTTTATTGGCTTTTTTCTTGAGTGAACAGTGTAACAATGAGGGGGCGGAATGAAGAGAGTTAACTATTACTCTGTCAGAAAATGGAACCGTCTTGGCGCCATGGAGTCACTGACGCCATGGCTATCTTCATCAATTATGATGGCACCGTCAATTGTCCTGTGAAGCGTTTTTTGTCGCAATGCGTGGGAATTTACGTCGAAATTACTCGTAGTTCCTATGTGTTTAGAGGGTACATATGGTCTAAACCCTCGCTGAGCTATATATATTCACGCTGTACAGAAATGTTCCCACGGAAGAAAAGGACATCTCAAAGGGTTTAAATCATCCCTGTTATGAGCAATGGAGCAACACAACGTTCCATGCACTGTCATTTACCAAATCAGTTGCGTAACATGTATAATATACGTGTTCAGTCCCCCCAAAATACACAGAAAGGTGATAAGACAGAACACCAGCACTTAGGCCTTACCTATGAACTTATTATCATACGATTTGCAACCTCGTTGGACGGAAACCTGAGAGGGTTATTGTGCGTGTCAATGTATGTTAAGAATTTTTATGGAAGCTTTATTGTAAGTATTTCAATGAAATGCACACAATTATCTCGTTTAACGCCGTGTATCTGCTGCTCTTTTTGCAAAACTTTTCTTTTTCATGTTTGTTTCTCGTTGGTGTCATAAAATCGGAGTAGGTGATCGTTACTGTTCTTTGTTCGACATTCCTTTGGCGAGAAATCAAACGAAGATAAGCCAATACTAACTGTCGGCTGACATTACTCGTGTAAAAAGATTTATGATTGGCCGACCGATCACATAATAACACGCCCACCTGAGTACACTGGGTTTTCATTGGCTTAACGAAAAAAAAGTTGATGCGTATCGTACCGTCAGTCTGCGTGTATGTTTGATTGCCACAGGTCCGTTCGATGATCGCCGCCACAACTTAACACTACACTTGCGCGCCAGCACCGCAAAGACTCAATTTTGGTTGACCCGTCGATTGTTATGGATGAGTAGGCCTACCTGTACTTGTTTGCTTAAAGTTGATTAAATTTGTCCTTAATGACAGAAAATTGTTCCGACCGATTTGTTTCTCTTGTATAATAATGTACGTCACAAACCTGCCATAGCTTGATGTGTATTGGCTGAAAGCGGGTGACAATGTACATGTATTGTGTATGCGCGCGTGATGTACATGTACAACCACTAGGCTCATTTCGGGCGAGAGTCGACAGTGATGTGGAGCGTGTCGTCTGCCCCTCGCACGTACGTCTGCATGTAAGGTTAGAGTCCTTGAATTTAATGTGGCATTGACCCGGACGGAACCTGGTTTGTTGGGAATCAACACAGATATTTGGCAGATGTGCAGCTTACAGAGGGAAATGACCGAAGGAGAGAGGTGAGTGGAATATGTACGTCTGCCGCATGCACTAAGCGAAGAAGGAACATGATAAACAGGACGCAGACCGCACCGGAAAAGTAGCCTACTTCAAAAAGCTTGCATCTCTAATATGAAACAATGGTACAGATTTGGTTGTTGGTCATACCGAGGGATGTGGGGGTATGCCCCCTCTTTTGGGCGCTACAAATGTACATTGCCAATGCCATCTATGAATATCATTTCCTGTTACTACGTCACGTGGTCATTTGCCGTATTCACTCCATGTATATTTAGTAAAATTCTTCCAAGATATTACACAGTTAGTAATATAACTCTGCCAATCACGTGCTCTTTATAGAACTGACCTTGTGACTTTTAATACCTTTTGAATGACAAAGTGGTCTAGGCCTATGCATCAGTCGGCAAATGGCGTCTTTTCGGAGGACCAGCCCAAGCAACACTGCCATATTGTATCCAAATGGTCTACTCCGGTGGGGGTGGGATTGACGATTCTTTGGAAAGAGTTCCATACATGAACATCACTTGCCACCCTGTGCACAAACTCTGTCAAACTGGTGTGAAAAGTTGTATTTTCCAAGTAAATGCTTGAATATTTTTCCCGCTAAATTGAGTGTTTATTTAGTACGGTATCTCTTTCTGATGGATGATTTACCACTGCAAGGAAAAATTAGTGATGTTTGTTCATGGAACTCCTGCCAGATTCTTTTATGGGTGAAAAGTAGGAGAGTTATTTTTGAAGAAAATTTCCATTTTGCCAACACCTCCATTTGCCAGAGATTGTACCCACCTCTAAGTGTAATGGTATAATTGACCTACTTTATTGCACCAAAGTAGCAGAGGTTAAAAATCAACAAATGGCAAGATAACCCAGCCATTAAATAGGATAATCAGAAATGAAAACACTTCTTTGCCTTGTTGTTTTTAGTGGCCTTGTAATTTTGTAGAATTTGGACTTACAGCATCTGTTTGTTGTTTGATGTACTGTAGCCATGTTGCAAGATATATCCTAATACTGAAATCCATGTGTCAGCCTGTCGTGAAAATAAAATCTTCCTCATTCACTCTCACGAGTTAATGTACCCTTTCCTTGTTTTTTTCTTAACCACTTAATATTTCAGTGTGTTAATTGCTAAAACATACTAATCTGTCACACCTTCCATAGACTCCACTGCAAGGATCGCAGCATGAAGCTCTTCAAGGGCTCACTGATATTTTCAGATGCCATAATTTCAAATCAGGGTTGAGCAGTTGGGGTACTACGATGCAGATGAAGTGGTTTGTTATAGCCTCTCTGTGTTACATTGACTTTGTGTGTAGTACTGTCTGCTGGCTTATGGCCATTTGAAGTCGTTAGTCTCCTTTATTTCATGCAAGGCACAGCATACTTGGTGAATGGCCCTTAAATGCTGTCGGAAAATCTGTTCTCGTTGTGTTAAAAGTGTACACTGAATTGATGGGTTGGACTCTGCCATGTATTTCCATGTGTGCAGTTGTCTCAACAAACTTATCACAGCGTCATATCACTTCTATAAACATTTCCACTCAGTGCAACTGCAGTTTATCAGTGTCATAATGCAAAAATGGCCAGCATGTGCTTCTAAGTGATGGTCAATGGTGGCTTTATGCCCAGAGGGGGAAGATATCAGAACTGCATGGAAACTGCAAAGTGTCCTGGAAAGTCTGTCTGGTATCTAAATATTTATTTTGAAACAATCTTTTTATTTTTTTTGGGGGGGGGGAGGTCTACTGCCCTTGACAATTTTTTTCTTTCAGACACTCCTTGTGAGAATTCTTCTGCTGTAGCTTTTTCCTGATGGAGCCCTGTGCATGCAAAAGTTTGCAATTATATTTTGGACCATCACTGAGCCATTTAATACATGTAAAATATATGTTGCATGCATAATGTCGACTCCCATGGATGGCATCAGCAGGTATATTGTAAACAAATCAGCACAAACTGGCCACTACTAATGTCTTTTCCTTCCACGAATTTCCTTTCATAAAATACATTCAGTCAGTAATTGTTGTGTCCTATGAGTGTTCATACAGTTATAGCCAGGGGCCTTGATAGCCCTAACAGTCCCAATTCCTCCAATTTCACTAAGATTTTACATACACCCTGGGGGTTAGGGCTAGGTTATGCTCTTATCAAAGGCCCCACATGCTGCTTCGAAATGGGGAACATGTTTACACACGCTTCATACAATGTATGTTGTGCGTTTGAAAAGTGTGTTTATTAAAAGGGTTTGGCCACATTGAATACTAAGTAGTATACATGTTTCCATATGTAGCTTTGTCTACTTTCTCCCCCTTCCCCCCCGGGAAATCTACTAATGTTCCCTCTATTGTCTGGGAAAACAACCCAGACGTGGAATTCCTTACCGTTTTAGTCATTTCCTTTTCTGCAACACTCAGTAAGAAACCCAAATGAGCCGTCTGAGTTTTTGTCTGTCTTGCCCAATGCCCAAATGCTGATGGACATAATAAAATTCACAAGACATCGCACTTTGGTTGGTGAAAACCATTGAGGACAACAGATTTTTCTCCTTTGCAGATTGAAAGTGCCCTTTTGATGTGAGATATGATTTCTGATTCATTGCATTGTTACAGCCCTCATAGATCTCTGACTTGTTTAATTTTCAGTTAATATAACCATGCCTCAAAGAAGTATTTGGGACATCAAACATTCGAGGTGCTTTTCTACTGCTTTCAAAAATAATGTTTAAAAAGTAACTTCCTGTTTATTTTTTAACAGGGCTATTTCCTGAAGAACCATCTTTATTTCCTGGCCAATGACTTTGCTTGCTGTGGATTGAACCTCAAGCAAGATGCTCCCATTCCGTGTTCGGAGGAGAATGAGTCTCCTCCTTGGACTTCTTCTCTGCTCACTGGTTTGTGTGCAGTTCTTCAACCTTGGTCTTGGATCCTTTGAGCGGACAGCAAAAGATTTCCAGAACCTAGCCCTGCCGACTTCTCAAGATCCATGGAATTTTGGAATGTGGAAAGAGAGCCAGACCAGGGGTGAGAGTGTTGCTTCCAAGGACTTCTCAGCTAAGGACTTTGGAGTAGGAGTGCAACAGTATGCCCGTCAAGCCTCAAAAGGTGATGGGGTCGAGGAAAAGGCGGGAGGTAAAGAACAGTCGCTGGAAATGGCATCAAGGATCAGCTCACAAGCTTTCAGGCACTTCTCTAAAGTTTCTCCTGCCGTTCTTCAGGAGGAAAAATGCCCGGGTTGCTATGGCACCACCCTTTGTGATAAGTTTTATGCAGGGAATATCACTCTGGACATGGAAACGCCTGGGCATGCCCAGAGCAAGGGGGTTTTCTTTGGCCGCATGGAGGGGCAGCAGGTCGTCGGAAAGCACTTGGCCAACCCGAGCGAGTTCAAGCGTTTGGACCATTTTGTCTGCCAGAACAGTAGCCGGCGCATCCGGCCCAATCAGTCTTGCGATGTGAGTTGGGACATTCTGCACTCACATTTGTCAAGCAGGATGGCATTGGAAGTGGAGTACATTCGCAAGGATGCGTACAAAGTGGCACAGACGACTGCTTCTTCTCTGGGGTCAGTATTGACTTTTGTTCAATTTTGCACTAGTTTTATCAATGCTGAAATGCAGTTCTTGTGTCTGTAGGGAGATAATTATCCAAAGGAAGCAAACCTGAAATAACATGTCAAAAACTTATGGAAGGAGCATTTATTAACCTGAACAATTTGGTTTTCTTTCAAGGCCAATAAACCCACCTCAAGTTTCTCCATCTTCTTGTTTCATGTCTCCAAAATCACTGTTTACCTTTGGTATGTGGCATTTGGGTCACTTGTCCAAGATCAGCATCTGACATGAAGTTGAATATTGTGTTATTCTTTGCCCAACTAACAGATAAAGCCACTGTTTACCTTTGGTATGTGGCATTTGGGTCACTTGTCCAAGATCAGCATCTGACATGAAGTTGAATATTGTGTTATTCTTTGCCCAACTAACAGATAAAGCCATTGACAATCTGGCCTCTTCAGGGTCATTTCCCAACCAGTCCTTGTAAAAACACAACACAGTTACATGGTACATGGTACTTGTACATACAAATACATGTATAACCTTTTCCCCTCTTTAGGTAAATGTACCGAATACGGAGAACTGGACATCACTCTGACCTTTGAAAGTATGGTAGTATTTTGCTGCAAAGGATAAACCAGCTTGTTTAGTGTAAAATATAGGCACAGCATCCTTGATGTAATAACCACACTTCCTCTGCAAGGCAGTTAAACTTGGTTTTATGGTTGGATGTTTTCTTCCAACAGGATATGCTGACATGCCTCTTATGTTCCTGTAATTTTCACAGATCGGGTTTTTGTCCTCCCAAAAATGAATATAAAGCAGTGTTGTGACAGCTAGTGCTTCCTTTGTCTAGTAACTTTTGGCTGTTGCACCATGGTTGCCTGAAGAAACTCGAATTGAAATTTGGAGAAAAAAATGGGTCAACGCATGTTTTTCTTTTGTGGCCTTTGGAATTTTGAAAGACTCATGGGAACAATTGTCAGCAATGTGCCACAAAGTTTAGTTTGTTTTCCATTGAATGCTGGTTTCAAGCGCAGAAAAAAGCTAGCATGTACGCCCCTAGGCAAATGTCTGAGGGATGAGTGTTTATCATCACCACTTCTGTAAGAGCCAAGGCAATCAAACAGATAAGATCATGCAGCTGGCATTCACTTGTGACACGTTTTATTGATTTACTTTTTACTGTCTGAAAACACCTAAATCATGGTTTGACCAGGATTTTTATGTGTCCTGAACCCTGATTGACACTTTGATTGGCACTGTCACCTGTCGTCTAGTTTTCACTTCATTTCACATGCAGTAACTGCACCCCAAACACAAGGGAAACTCTTCCAGACAAAGCGTGGTAGAGAAATCCCTTTTTACAAGCGATATGGTGGGGACCCTTTTACTGGTAGGTCTCCTTGTATCTAATGAAGCGAAGATACTTTGCTTGTATGATGTTGTGGACCGAACTTGCTCTACACAGCATACATGATGGCCCTTTTATTGAAAGACCACAGCACAATATACATGTATGTATCACTGTTTTGAAGCACCACTGCATGCTATCAAAATTTGTGAAATCCCTTGACAATCGTACAGTAGATGTTGGTTGTCCATCAATTGAGTTTGACTAGGAGGTTAGAAATGGTATTGAATAACATTGGTGCCCTGTTTCTTTGTGATACTATTCTTGGCAGATAATTTGATTTCTTTTTTCAACGTTGTTGTGAAACGCTATCCTTCTACCTAATTACAAACTTTTGTGAAAGGTTGGTGCACATTCTGCATTTGGTATTTTCGTTCACTGAAGCTGACCAGGTAGGTCTTCTGTGGTCTGACCACCAGTGCCTGAGCCGTGGGCAATAATAGGTTTTAGCCAAAACCAAATGGCTATTTTGTAAACAGGCAGGGCCATGGCTTAAAGGAAATCAATGAGACCACTGAACAGGAATCCAGACTAAACAACAGATTGGGGCTTGTTTTTTGACTTGGGCATAGTTGAGGAGAGCTGAACAAAGAATATTCCCCATGCTTGCCTGTAATCCATCACTTTACCTCCAGTAAGCTTGACTGCCAAAAAGGTAACTGACAAGCGATTTGAAGTAAGCGGCCCAGTGGGGAATAGGAAACCACTGAGTGGATTTGACAGACACTTGGGTGTCACAACAATGAGATGCAGGAGGAAGAGAGAGAGATTCTGGCAGAGGGGGTACAAGCAGAGGGGAAAGGAGCTGTCATCCTGTGTCCAGAGGAGCTACCAGAAATAACAAACACCATGGTGTCAGTTGTGCCCTCCATACACCTTTGGAAATTACTTAAAAGGTTACAGTCTGAAAGGGAAGGCCTTCTTTTTGGTGGGGGTTAAATGATTAAAGCATTGTCTTGTTTTCGTCGTCTCTGCACAGAGGCTATCACCTAGAGGGCAGTGCCCTGTTGGTTGGTTTCTGTTGCTTTGACTTTCCATTTTGCTGACTGCAACATTTACCTCAGATGTCATATACATGTACCTCAATTGGGTCTGGCCAGTTGTTTTTTTTCAGCTAATACATTAGATTCAGGAACCTGTAATTGAAAAAAGGAACCAGCACTATGTTTGCATTGAAACTCTGCATTAAAGACAGATTTCTAGATCAACCTCATTTCAAAAGCACGGTTGACTAATGTTACCTTTGCACTGGACTGTATGGCTTTCCTATATATCCTGCTGTAATGCATTTTGTGGACTGGTGTATGTACAAAGCAGGAGCATAATGTGGGACATTCACAGCCATGAAAAGGATGGAGTACATGTATTTTCAGAAACACCAATTGTTCAGTTCCACTTTTTTCTAACTGCTTGATACGGACATTATTTTTTCCACAAAGTGAACATGAACAATACATGTATATTGAAACTGCCATGTTTTGGTAACAGGGTAGACTGCAGTTTCATGCACACATAAACACACACCAAGGAGAGCACGGTGGCGGGTCGCCAGGATTGCGTCCTCTCAATGCAGTCTACATACATCACGTTTATTATGTTCTGGAGACAGTATTAAAATTATTAGCACAGGTGTAGGCACAGTGTATCGGTTTTCACAACCTTGAAAGGTGTACTTGGCCCTTACAATGGTTGCCACTGGTCGCCATGGTAATCTTTGGGTCTGGTAAGCATTTTACTTGAACACTGGTGGGCTTTGTTGCATAGCCTGTAGGGAATCGAGGCCTTTGTGTGATGTGAATGGTAAGTAAAATCATGATACAAATATACATGTCGTTGAAAGCCTCTTAGAGAATCCTTTAAATGAACCATTGTGTTGCCTAAACTAACAACAGTATAGGGTCCTTTGTCAGATATTGTTGCGTTCCAGATGAGAGATACAAAGGCAGAAGTTTATGATCTGTCTAGATGAAAGGTTGGTTGGGATTTGCATAGTGTAGTTAGTGGTACAAAATAATTGTCCATATTTGAGATGACTCTGTGCTTGGCTATGACCAGTTTTTCCATCAGTTTCAGGCTCGCCTCAAAAGTACAAATTTGAGGGTCAGTATTTCACTCTTTTACTAAAAAGCATTCATAACTTTGTGGAAAATATTTGAAGCGGGAGTGAACTCAATCTTTCACCATTGAAGGCTTCAGCGATTTTTTTTTTTGCTTAAAAAGTGCAACACACTCGTATGTGATAAAGAGGACAGATCTGTAACAGTTCGCCATTGTCCTATTAGTTGACAACATGCAGTTTGGCATGGAAATAATCAAGTAACCTACTTGTAAATCACTTGCCAGGTCTTTTGTGTTATGGATTATGAACAAATCTTTGTTTCCATTGTGTGGCAAAAAAGTATTTGAAGGTCAGCAGTCTCACACAGACTGCTAATATTGAAGTGGTGCCTGGATCAAGAGCATTCTCAAGCCATACAATGCAAGTGTCACCACTGTACAAAATAAATGTGTGTGTTGCTACAGGATGCCCTAAAGATGAAAAATGTGAAAACGTAGTGTAAAGGAGATGCCAGTAGAAGTTTATTTTGTTTATAGTCAGCAACGAAACTCTCTGTTGTTTTGTGGCCTTCATGCACTGTATGCATTTTACATAATTGATTCCAAAAAATATGTATTTGAAGGTGTCAGTTCCTCAATCAGATCCATGTGGTCGTTAGTGAATTGTAAAGTGCTCGTTCTAAAATTTATATTGTACTCTGTGGAGGTTGACAGTATGACATAGAATTTAGTCATTAATCAAAACCCTGCACTACACTCTTTTACTGAAGTAGTTGAGTGGGGGTAAATTAGAAAAGAAAAATAAAAAAAAATTGAGCTAAAATAACCTCAGCACTGTCCGTCAAATTGGATTGAATGGCCCTAATCCCAAGTGGAGACTGTAGAAATGTTTTTGCCAGTTTACTCTTATGTAGACTTTAGAAGAAATATCCCCTCCAAAAAAGAATCCTGAGTTTTTGTTTACTGGTGATGTTCTTGTTACTCTGTAAACAATTCGTCTAGATTCTGGCACATTCTTAAAACCCTAAAAAGAGTTTGATTTGTGTTTTTCCTTTATTCCTTTTGGACAAGCTTGCATAAACCTTGCCAAAGATGACTCAAAGCTGACTCAAAGTAGTGCACATACGTAAATATGCCCCCCCAAAAGCTTTTTCATAAATGCATAGTTTGATTATACGCATCTTGGGGGGGATTATCAACATTATGTCTGGAAGGAAAGCCCCT